CATAGAGAGCTACACCTCTACACCTCCAATTTTCTTCCCTATCCAGTCCCTTCTATGCAGGGTGTAGCCCTCCTTGGCTATGCTCCAGTCATGTGAGGAGTCCCACCAGTTCTTCATAATCCCTACTAGGTCATAATGCCCACCAGAAAGCAGGAGGACTAGCTCCTCCTGCTTGTTCCCCATGCTTTTGGCATTAGTGTACAGGCACCTGAGGCCTCCTATTGAGACCCTTGGCTTCTTGTCATGCTGAAGGAGAACTGTTCCCTCAGCTCCCACAAGAGTGGCTCTCCTAGTGTCCCTATCTATGGGGCTTTCTTGTACGTCGGTCCCTGGGCAAGCTTCAGTCAGTGTTTCCCCTTCCCCCAGCAATCTTAATTTAAAGCACTATCTAGAAGATCGGACACCCTGGCTTACCTCTCTGTATGAGGTAGATGCCGTCTCTTCCCAGGAGTCTGATCAAAATTTCCCTCAACAAAGCCATCAAAATCTACAGATCATACATGCATTTATCTTAAAATGTGGTATACCTCATTTAGTGCACTATATGCCCTCATGGAACCTACATGGGTGAAATCAGACAAAACAACTATGCCCCGGAATGAATAATGGCTGTAAAAAGACAAAGCACAGACGCACTATAACACAGGTAAAACATTTTTCACCAAAAAATCACTCCCTCTCTGATCTCACAGTTCTAGTGCTCAAAAGAATTATCTCTGATGCCTTTACAAGAGAAGCACAGGAACAGATATTCATCGGCCTATTGGACAATGAGCATCAGGGACTTAAGATAAACAATGACTTCACGGTACATTATAATCTTCCTGATACTTGCTAACCCCTGCAATTCACAGGTAATAATTACCCAACTTAACAAGCTTTTGTTCCATCTAGTATTTAGCTCAGCTGTGTCTGCTTCTGTCACAGAAGCCTGAGGAAGGGTACTATGGTAACTGAAAGCTTGCCTATGTCTGTACCAATCATACGGTCCAATAAAAACTATCACCCACAAGAATTCTTGCCTTTCTAATAAGTTATGCCTCTTTATGTAGCACTGAAGTGGCTATAATACTTTTTGTTTTGGGAGGTGATATGTACAAACCGACCATAGTTAGGGACTACGGAATTCACGATTGCATGATTTTTTGTGGAAACCACAAAATGGGGCATTCTCCATGATTTCAACAGGCTCACTGAAAAAATAAAAAAACCCCAAAAAAATCCCCCTCACTGAAAATAAAATGCTGGCTCCCCAGAAGAAGGCAGCAGTCTTCATGACACTGTGGCCTGGCCATGCAGCCCACTGTGGGACAAGGGAGGAGGCAAGCCGCTAGCATGAAAAATTGCCACAACAAAGGTCTGTCAGCAAGATGGGTTCTGGCCCCACTCCTTGCTGCTTATTGGCTGAGAGCGCTGACTGTTGTGCAGCCCCGCCCCCCAAAGTAAAACAATTGGTGACAATGGGTGGGGATATGTGATGGACAGCCCTCACAACCAATCAGTGGCAAGGGGAGGGGCCAGTGGGGCCCCTAAGTCAATCAGAGGCATGTGGGAGGCTCCCCACACACAGCCTGTGAAAATGGTAGCTGGCCCCAGCATCTACCTGTGAAATTGGCTGGCTGCCTCCTCGAGTTAGGTATACCCCTAACCATAGTGCCTCAGTCCTGAAGTCATGGCTGAATGATGTAGGCATGCTCAAAGTGAATCTGTATCCTCCTCTGCTATAAGCTGATCTCTCAGACTATAGCACCTCATGATTTTTAGATCCCAGTCTCCTGTGTTTGATTCCTGCGGACAACCTAACAAGGTGCAGACATCGATACATTTATTTCCTATGCAGAATATGTCCACTCCTATGAATTGAGGATTAGAATATATTGTCTTACCTACTTACCGCAACTCGCAGCAATTTCTGTCTTTTGATTTTGGTAGGTTGGAGCCAAGTCCATCAAGTAGTAAAGTACCTGCCCTCAGAACAGTAACAGGAAGGATTGACAGACCCCAAGTGCCAAACACCATTCTCGGTAAGTACCTGATCATATCTTAAAGCAAGGCTTCAATAAACTGAATGGAGTCCAGGAATATATATATATATTCTCATGTTGCCATATTTCTGGGGAAATGCAATGGATTACACAGTGGGAGTTTTAAACTATGTTTATAGATTTCTGATGTGTATACATAAACTTCCCCAAGGTTTTTGCTTACTTTACGACTATGGCATTATTATGATGTGTACAGTGCACAATACAACGGAGGGTCCAAAGAATAGACACAATGGAAATACTTCTGTTCAGGGAATGCATGGGTGCTGTAGGGCTGGCATTGTTCCAAGAAAGGGTGCATGGGGTTGATCTGTGGCTTACTGCTTTCTTCACACTGTCTAGTAGAGCAAGGCACATCTGGGAGAAGATGCATCTTCTCAAATGGTGGTAGCAGGACCGCACTACTCTGGTATTTCCTGGAACATTAGCAGATATATGCTAGCTGGAAACACTGTGCCTCCTAGAGCTCACATTGGTGTAATACTGTTCCACCTTGCTTCCAAGTAAGGAAGCATCTTAAAGACACAATGGAGTCCTTTGCATTAGGAAGGTAATCAATTATTGTCACCAGAAAAGGCATTTTCAGGACAATGATTGAGGTAAAGACAGTAATGAAGGTATGCCTTCATGGTGATTAGCAATCAAGGATGAGCCTAGCTCACTACAGAGCCCTGAGTTAATGCATCCTCACTGGTGATCACTATTTTGTGTGCGCCCCTAGAACTTCTAGGGCACATCCCATGGTGCTCTGTGCTGGAATAAGTTGATCTGCTCTACAATTTTTTCCCAGTGAAATTCAGAATTTGTCTGTCCTTCTCAGCATGAGAGGAACTGTTGGAAAGCAGTGGAGGACAATTAGCATTTCAGTGATTAGCTTGCATCCCCACTGCACAGTGGACAGGTTTTCAGCCAAGTGGAAATAGAACCCATCCCACAGTTGGGACAGCTAGCCTGAGATGCAAGTACCACATAAGTAGAGTGAGAACATGTAATGAGTGGACAGAAGAAGGATTAGGGACAGTGCCTAAGTAAGGCCTTGGTCTAACTCTCTAGGGAACATGCATCTTACCTGTCAAAAAAGCCTGGTCTGGCTTCATCACTGTGAGAAAACAAAGGCAAAATGTGCAAGTGCTTCTTCAGTACTTACTCATACCTTAGTTAGTAAAGCTGCCCTTGGCCAGGGTCAATCCAGGTCAGTCCTGTGTTGGGCAAACTCTTTTTGCCTTCAGTTGGAGTTTTGGTTTAGCAAGAAGCAGAGTGAAAACTGAGAAGGGATGCCAGGATTTCATCCACTTGGAGTTGTGCCTGACTAAAGAATAACTTCTGAATTTAACTTGGATTGTAATTCTGTGATTATGTTAGTATAGAGGCAGTGTAACTTTTCCAGCTATGGCCTTTCCCTAGCAGTGACAAGTTCCTTAACAAAAGGGTAGAAGCAGGTCATTTTCAAATTCCATTAGGTTTATAATAGTAGTATAAAGCATTCGTTCTAGTTGTATATTGTGCAAGAGGTTTCACTTTTGAACTCTGAAGACAGAGATGAACCTCTCATTGCATGGATAAGACTTATATTGTTGATGTATGTACCTCAAAAACTCCAGATGTTCCATCAGGTAAGAACAGAACATTTCAGATGCTTCTCAAGGACTTCATGCTCTTGCATTTATCCAGAAGTGCAAAGGCTCATGAAACTGAAAAATAACTGAGAGAAAGCCATGGAATTTTTTTCAAACCTGAAAGAATAAATGAAATTAATTGCAAATGTTGGATCTGTTTATAATTTAGCAAAATCCAGTTTCTACTACTAAATTAATAAAATTTTTCATACTAGTGAAAATGACGAGAAAAAAGTAAAACTGAAAAGTTCTATTAAGTAGCTATATTAAGCAAATGACATAACAAAAGACTCACTTTTTAATGAATGAAAGAAGTACTGTGGTTTAATCTCATACTTTAGGCCAGGGGTTGCCAACCAAGGGTACATGTACCCCTGGGGATACTTGGGAAGGCCCCAGGGGGTATGCAGCAGTAGCATGGAGAAGCGGGGGCACTTCCGGTTTCTCCGGTGGCACTTCCAGTTTTGTCACTGGTGCTTCTGGTTTTGCCACTGCACACAGGAAACCCCCTCCCACCCCACTCATTGATCAGCTGCTGGAAGATGCCCCCTCTCCTCCCCCCCGCTCGTCAATTGGCAGGGGGACTTCCTGCTTCTTGACCAGCTGGTAGGGGTACACCAACCAAAAAAAGGTTCAAAGCCCCTGCTTTAGGCTTTAGTTAAACAATTGGAAAAGGATTCAGCAGTATGAAATAATACTATCAGCAATTGTTTGTTTCCAATTTAACTTTAGTCTAAATGTGCATTAAATAACCTCATCTCTGGAACATCATCTTCATACACAATATCTAGTATCTTCTATGTCCCAACACTCCTGAGCATCATAACTGAGTTGCGTGGCTTTTGTCATTCATTGACTGTGAACAAAACTATAGGGACCTAAACACAATAGAGCTTGGAACTGGGGAAGTGCTTAGTGCCCAGGGGTCTCCTGGCTCCTGAACTCTTCTGGCAGAATGTCACATCTTCTACTGCAGAGCACTATCCCTCTCTTTTTATTTCAGAGTTTATAAAAGTTGATTTTGTTGAGGCTTGTGAAAATACGATTATTATGGTAATAGTGAAAAGGTAATGAAACTACCAATTTTCTGGCATTACAGAAAGCACAATGAAAATGCTTTTCATTTTGGCAACCCACAAAAGCAGATGAAAATACCTATCACTTTGGTGATCCAGAAAGGTAGCTAAGAATGCCAATCATTCTGGTAATTTAGATGAGACCATTAGCCTAACAATCCAGGAAGGGTCATGAAAGTGCCCATTGGTTAGGGCTATGGGCACTATTAAGAACTTAGATTTCTTAGTTGAGTCTGGATGAATAAAGCAGCATGTTTGCCCTCTTAGAAGCCACTATTGTCTGTGAGCTCAATCATGGTGTCTAATCTCAAATTAATTCAGACTTTAATCACTTGTTCAGGTCATTTATCAGCCAGGGCTCTTCCTGTCCTTTCAGGATTAGTACATCACTCCATAGCACCTTAAGCTGTGGCCTGCCAGTGACCTTCTTATCAGCCATACAGGCAGAGGAAGGAAGGGATGTAACACATTTCCTTATTTAAAAAAGACACTGAGAAAAAAAGTTACCGATGTCAAGGTTCTGAGCAGACTCCTGTCTGCAATTGACATTGAGATGTTTCAGTTAATGAACATAGTAAGGCTGGTGGTTGAGGTAACATGATTTAAGAATAAGAGTTAATAGAGTTGTGTGACGGAGTCAAGAAAAGCTTAACAGAATGGCTGAATTACCCTTCTGTGCCTCTGAGATCTTTGTCAAGGAAAGGAATGTGCAGTAGGATAATAGATGTATTGGAGTGACTACAAAGCTGTAATTCACTCTGGGGGCTCCAATGATGTCATAAACCAGGAGAAAACAACTTCAGCACTTTAGGAATAGAAGCACTGAGCAAAGCCTTGAGAGTGAATTTAGCTTTGTATTGACTCCTGGGCCATCAGTGTTATTTATAACACACACTGCACAACATTAACTTTTCAACAGGAGTGCGCAAGTACTTTATACCCTGGCCATCTAGCTGCCTGCAGGCATTCTCCATCTATGCCATGTAACAACAGCTAAGTTGGGCACTGGCTTCTGCCATATTTTCCATTTCCTCCTAAAGTGGCTTTGATAGGTGCATGTGATTTTGCAATGTAGAAACTAGATTTTGAGGTATTGATTTTACACATGTTTTTGCAAGACCTTAAAAAGGAACCTAATTAATATGTTTGGATTTACCTCCTATTTAATGGTAATCAATTGACATTGCCTGATATTATGATATCTCTTGGAAAACTTAGGTTAGTAGGGAGGAATTGCGCAAAATGAAAGGAAATTGTCAAGTTGTTACAGCAGGATGCTGAGAGTCAGAGGTTCTAGGGTCTGTCACTGGCTTAGCCATCTTTTTCACTGTATGGTTTTGGGCAAAACATTTGATCTCCTTGTGCCCTTCTATTTGTGAAATGGGGACATTCATGGCAATAAAGTGACTTTCACATATTGCACAGTATATTCAAGAGCATACTAAAAAAAATCAAAATAGCCCTTACAACATTTTCTTAAAGGCAAAAGGGGAAAACATGATAAAGTCCTGCTGTGTCCACAGTAATATTCTGCAGAGTCACTGCAGAGACTTCATAGCAACAGTACTTTTATATTATGCCAGGAGCAGACACTCCAGTCCCAAAGGTAGCCTTTTGTGGTGAATTCTGTACAAGCACAGAGGCAATGGTCCCTCCTAGAGAGGACTGGCATAAAGAGAGACCTGGGATGAACTCCCTACCTTGCCACAAAACTTCCAGTGTCACCTTAAAGTCTGACACAATTCTGCATCTATAAAATAAAGCAACTAATGCTTCCATGCCTAAGGTGATTGTGAGGATAAGTAGATTCAGCACATGAGCACTCTTCGTGTACTGGGGCAGTGGTGACCCCGTTTCTGATCCTTTTTATAGATTAACTTGGAAACCTGACTGCTTTGCAGTGTTGTTTTGGTGCTAGGCTCAGGATGAGTATGGCAAGATTTTGTATGAAATAATAGCATGAGCAGTGTTTAGAAATATTCCTGGCAATAATATATTTCTGACCCATCTTCTGTTTCCCTGTCATCTCTCATAATTTATATTTTCTAGTCCCAAACTTCCCACACACATTCAAAAGACATAATTCTAAGTGTAGATAATTCTGTCAAGTGAGAGGGTATGGAAAATCTGAATCTGGATAACATCAGTTCTGAGGGCAGTCAGGGAAGCAGACTGAATTCAATGGCAATGAGTCCTTTTGGAAATGATATCCTGTACATATCCATGTTTTGTCACTGAGGTCAGAGTCTCTCTCAGAGAGATTTCTGGATCTTTGATTTTCCAATGT